CCCTGCCTCTCAAAAAGGTAAGATTATAGGCTTCAATCACTGTGCCCAGCAGGATCTGTTTCTTAAAGAGTCCTCTCTGTCACAAAGACTGGCATCCTACATGGAGCATCCCTTGGCCAAGTGTTGTACAACACCTGCCTCTTTATACCTGGCCATATTGTCAGCTGCCCAGGTGAGCTCTAAACACGTCAAATAATTCTTGAAGCTGAAACTCACCAGGATACATGACTCTCTGCTGCAATCTCCTTCCTCTTTCACAGTCCCAGAAAGCCAAGCCTGGGTCCTACTCAGTATTAGTGGCCTTCAATGGAAACAGGTAATAGAAATGTCACTGCCTGAGGCTGGCACAGAACCTGGGCAGGCCCATGAAGCCCAACTAAGCTCAGAGCCTACTGACTCAAAGCCCTGGGAAAACCAGGAGAGAATAACAAGCATGAGTCACCTGCTGCCTCTTTCTAATAACGTTGTAATTTTCAAATGTTTGATGAAAATTGATCACTTAACGGGAAACTCCTCTCTCACATAGGAGAGAGGAGTAAGAGCAATGGCCTGTTGGCTCTGTCCAGAGCTTAGGACCTGAGACAGCTGAATGGTCCCAGATGAACTGTGATTTGAATGACTTGCCCTAGAACAGAATCACACGGGGTAGGAGCAAACAAACAGAAACCCCTAAGCATGCACTGGGACATTACCAAGACTCAGCCCAGCCACAGACTTGCACATTCTTTTGCACTAATGGACCCAAAAGAACACTGTTGGCTGGACCATTTTCCTACTATTAACCTAAAAGATAAACTTGGCTGTGACTGGCCTAGCATACCTGCGTGTTCATTTCTATGCTTGTATACACAGGTGCACATACATTTCTACCTCAAACTCTACCAGATTTTTCTCCACTGCAAATGAATTTCATAGAATAGTCAGGGCTTTAGGATTAGTATAAAGGTACACAGTTACTGATTTCTAGAACACTTTATCTTTCTAAAAGATGTACTTGCATTTTGTTATCCTATTTGTTTCTGCCCTGTGAGGTACAAAGAGATTACATTGACCTCCTTTTTGCTTTTTCAAAAAAAACTGGAGTCTATCACTTTCCAATCACAGCCAGAGCCATGTGGGTCACCAGACCCCAGGAATGGTGGTTTCACCACTGCAGCCTCCCCTCACATTCCCTCAGCCACCTGAGAGAAGAGGGCGGAAATAGGAAGGGCACAGAAAGGAAGAACGGCTGCTGGTTGAGTAGGTCAGGACAGCTGAGGATGGCAGAGCCCTCCTCTAGCCCTGGACCACCATCAAGTTCCTTCATCGAGTCTCTGGAAACAGAACCCCTCTCCTCCCAAAAGTTAGGAGACATTCACTCCAGAAATGGCACTGAAAAACCATGACAACCAGGCTTCATCCTCTATCGATAATCCATGTGTCATTTCTCCAGCTCAGAATGAGAAATCAAAAACACAGGAGGGAACATGTCCTCAGTGTGAGAAGCTTACTACTTCTAATTTCCACCTCAAGGAATTGGAAAAGAGGCAGCAGGATGACCCTGCCTGACCTTCAGCAAGGGGGGAAACTGGAAAAAGGCCCAGGCACAAGAGCAAGCTTTGTCCCTATTCCACGTCACTACATAAGCCTTTGCTCCAACTGAGATGCCAGCATGGCTGCAGAGAAGCCACCAGCCAATAAAGGCACCATTGTTGACTCATGAATGTTTCCAAATTGCAAGACAGGGAAGCCAGGGCTAACAACTGCTAGAGAGAGACAGTTGGTCAGACCTGCTGTCATTTGGACAAACTTATTTTTTTCCCCAGTTTTCTGGTAAGATTGCTTGCAAACCATCCCAAACTTCCAAAACATGGTTAATGACTCAAGGTAATTTGAGTCATGATAAGCCACACAAAAGAAAAACACAACAGGAAACATTCAGGTACTCAAAGCAGGTGACACCAGAATGAGGGAGGGACTGCTAGAGGACAAGCAGTGAAGTAAGTAAAGTGTGACTTGGCTGCCCTCCCTCCATCTCCATCTGCCAAGGCTACCTTATAGGTAAAGGCAGGTGTTTGCCAATACACATTCCCACACACCTTCACTATGTGTAGCCCCTCAACTTGTCATGACTGTACAATCTAAATATGGCAGGAAACCTAGCACATACCAACCAGCTCCCTGCCCCTCTAATCTCCTTACCTCTGTCCCAGCAGGAACTCTTGGTAATCTGAGGTCTTCTGCCAGCAGAGGCCTGACACCCCAGGAAGATGCAGAGTCGTCAGCCCCTACCTTAAAAAATATACAGCTCAGGTACCACCAAGAAACCTGCTGCAGCTGAACTGTAACTCCCCTTCCCCCAATTTCTGTTGAAGTCCTATTCCCCAGGGTAAAATACTTGGAGATGAGGTCTTTAGGAGGTAATTAGGTTTCCATGAGGTCAGAAAGGTGGGGCCTTTATGCTGGAATTAGTGCCCTTATAGAAACAGGCACTAGTGAAAAGCTTGCTCATGAGCTTTCTCTGTTACATATTCTGTCTTGCCATAGAAGGAAGGGGACAGTCTGCAAGCCAGGAGAGGGCCCTTACCAGAACCAAGCATGTTAGTAGTCTGATCTCAATCTTTCAGCCTCCAGAACCATAAGAAAAGTCATTTCTGCTCTTCTAGTCCATGGTTTTGTTATGGCAGCCTGAACTGACTAATATTCTCATGAGGATTGCCCTTGACCACAGGTAGACAGTGCCATGGGCAAAATGAACAGTATATCACACATTCACACAATGTAAAATTCAGCTGCCAGACCCCTTCCCATCCCCCAGCTTGATGACATAATGCCAGGGTATCACAGAGTCCTGCATTTCCTCTTTCCTGCCAGAGGGCAGTAGGAAGACAGAGCTAGGGACAAGTGTGGGCAGTGAAACACTTGGCTGTACTGTAAGCCCAGGGAGTAAAAATGTCCCCCAACGCTTTGTGCTTGCATTCTGCACAGCGATCAGAGCCTTGGAGGGCATACTAACTATGAGAGTGGCCCTCGCTCCCATCTCCAGCACTGGCAATCTAAAATTAGCCAGAGAAAGAGACTGCTCAGCTCTGTGTCTCCTACACGACGCTGATAAGTGTCACTACCTCCTTTGGCAGTAACTTGTCTTGGGAGCGCTATAAATATCACCTAAGCCTACCCGACGTGAATTATGAATACCAGGAATGGTTTCAGGGTTTCCAGGCACTGGTTATGTGACAGGGGTGTCAAATTCAGAGAACACGTAAACCCCTCAGGCCCAACCCTGCCTTTTAAACTCTGGGGCAGATGGGCTTAAAAGGGCATACACCTCCTCAGCTGCTGGAGCCATGGCATAGCACTACAGACCCGGTCACATGCCCCTCACCTTTTGTCACATTCTTAGGAAGTAGGCGTTTGATGGACAGAAGAAGTTTGAGGTGATAGAAAAGGACAAAAGGGGTTTTGCCCTTCTGAGATACTGAGATCTGACTCAGAGCTTTCATGGGATGAGCCCATGGAGACTGAAGGTGGGAGGGGAAGCAATGGTCACTGTATAACCTGGAGCTGTCATGTCTCCCCTGGGGCTTGTGCCCAGAAGGTTCTAAATAGATGTTTTTGGATCAACTTAGTTCAATGCGTTTCCAGCGCTTACAACCTCAGAAGCCAAAGCCCCAGGAGCAGGGCCAGCTGGAACCCAACACCTCAGTGAGAGGTCATGGAGAGAGGGCTGTGGTCAGACTGGGGAATGCAGATGTGTGAAGGAGTCAGGAAAAAAAGATAGCTGGGGAGGAAGGCCGCCATGACATACAGTATCCAGAGGATCCAGAGGTGAAAAGGAGAGAGGGAGCCAGGCTATAACCAGTGACCCTGAGACATCCCAAGAGCAGGACCAGACAGGAGGTTTGGCCCAGAGGTGTTGCTGAGGCCTCCCAAACTGGTGCTCAGGAGGACGCACTGGACCCCAGGAGCTGGAGAGTAGGGACCAGAGGAATTGACTATTCTAAGTTTGTCAATGGACACCTCGCACTGACACAAGGCCAGTGGTGAAAAGAAAAATCAGTCACTGACCATTCAGTTCACAGCCCCGGAGGTCTTTACAACAAGCTGTATGCAGTCAAGATTTTCGCCTTGCGACTCCTCCCTCCTTTGTGTCCCTATCTTTCATTTCTCCCTATCTCCGACTGGTTCCACCAAATCTATACCTCCACGAACTCCTTCCTGTGGTCCTGTCGTGTGCCCTTTCTGTTAGAACAGCTCTGAGGACCTACACAGGGCTTACTACTTCTATCTACTGCCTCTTCTCAGCTGGTGCCACAGCCCTGTGCCCATGACAGAGCCTCAATAAATAGCAGTAACTCAAGTAAGATGGTTTTCTTTAAAAAGTTGTTTTTCTCCTTCCTTTGTTCAAACTTCTCGTGCTCAGTAATGGATATAACTACCTATATATAACCCCTCTGTCAAGAATCTCTCCAGCATGTGCAACTCTGTTGGTCCCTCTAGGAAAGGGAGGAAGGAATCTGTGTGGAAGGACCTGAGGGAAGAAAAAGCATCTGTCTCATCTCCCCTCACTTCCCCATGATTGGATGGAGGGAGGCAGAATGTTCTGGAAGCCATTTCCTCAAGATTTTATTATCCCAAGGAACTGAGTCCTTCCTAGGCTACTTTGGGTCCCTCCTCCAGCTAAGAGAAGCCAGGGTTCCAAGGTTTGAGGCAGGCCTTCAGTGACAAACCCTCTCTCCTTCCAGTGGCTCTGCCCAGGTCAACCTGAAGCCCGGTGGTGACAAGCCAGGGAGATTGGGAGATGCTTGGCATGTTAGGTGCCAGCAGAAACCTCACTTCAATGACCATACCTGATCTCACACCCTATAAAGGTGTCCCTCCAGCATACTGTAACTCTCCCTAAGGCCCCTGGCCAGTCAGCAGCCCTGCAGGAGACAGGCCCCCAGGTACCATTCATCCAAGCCCTCGGTGAGCCTGGAAACCAGAAGTCCTGGGCAGTGATGTATCTGGGCCTTCTCTACCTGGTGTGTGAGGGCGGCAACTGAAGCTGACTCCGAGGATCCCGACGGCCCCCTTCTTCCTTCTTCCAGCACAAACATTTGCTTGAGGACTGCTCTATAAACTGACAAGGGGGTGGGGAACATTTGAAATACAATCAGAGTTGAGTCATTAAAAATCACACCACCCCTTAGGGGAAGGAAAAAGGCCAAAATGAGCCACAAATTGCTAAGGCCTCAAAACCCCAACATAAAGTATCTCTCCCTCTGCACTGAAGAGAGCACTGTGTCTCCTCTGACCCACAAAAGCCCTTTGAGCAGGCAGCCCACTCATGTCTCCCGCAGGGTGCCGGGGATCAGTGACTGGCAGCTATAGATGGTCCTCATCCATGGAGAAAAACACCCAGCGCTGGCTCCTTCTTCCTAACCTCCAGCAGCTACAAAAAGGGTTTGCACTGCTTGCAATCTCTAAGGACATCATTATCTGTCCTCCAAAACACTAAGGAGAAAGCAAACCAGACACAGCCCCTAACCCAAGAGGAGCTGGTAAGTGAAGCACAGCCACACAGAAAGCAGAGGAAAAGGGTGACTCAAGGCTGGCCTGCCTCACTCAGTGCCAACAGACGTTTGGCATCAGGGCATTTTTGGTGAATTCTCACAGAGGAGGCTGAGTTAAGGCACCACCAACAAGAATAAATTCCAGGACAGTTGACTGTTAAACAGGAAGGGATGAGGGGAAATTTAAGAGTCAAGTTTCAATTATTCACACTACATAAAACCACATTGCAGCGGCTGGTGCAGTCAGTCAGCAACATAAACCACAGTGAGGGGCAGATCTGCACCTGACTCTCAGAGACTCCTCAAAACCTGCCTCCTCGGGTCCCAACGTCAGTCAGGAACCCCAGCACCTGCACAGGAATAAAGGACCTGCCATGTGCAGCTCAGATTCAGATCGGCAGGCACTTGTGCCTGAATATCTGAAGACACAAGCAGCAGAAGTCTGGGCAGACACTTCCCAATCCTGCATCTAGCATCCAAGCTTTTAATACTCTACAAAAAATAAGTTGATGATGCCAAACCGCCTCACTGTGCACCATCAAATACACCCATCTTCTGAGATCCTTCTGGCTAACTATGTGCCTTTTACTAACATGAGAGTTTTGTTCACTATTGGATGACCAAGATTTGGCAATTAAAAATACAAGATAGTTAAATTTGAATTTCAGATAAAACACAAATGATTCAGGATAAGTATGTCCCATGCAATATTTAGGACATACTTATATTTTTAAAACTATTTGCAGTTTGTCTGAGGTTTCAGTTTAGCCAGGCATCTTGTATATTATCTGGCACCATCATTTCACAGAAAACACTGAAGTCTGGGAACAGCTGGAAACAAACTTTGGGAGCCCCCAGCTGTCAGCTCATCCTTCCCAGAGGATTAGCTCAAGTAAAACACTGGCCCTGTCTGTCTGAACAACAAGGACAGGCAGAGGAAGCAGGAGGACTGCCTCCATTGGGGATAAATCAGGTCCATTCTCCTCTACTTAATGCACTGACTTAAAATATCAACACAAAACAAGGTGAACTTAAAAACACAATCTACTACTTGGAGGAATGACATTGGGAGAACCCTGGTTCAAGGCCAGCAGAGGCAAAAAATTCACAAGACCCCATGACTGGGTGGTGTGGCATGTGTCTATCATCCCAGGTTTACAGTCCAGATCAACCTGAGAAAAAATTGAGACCCTATCTCAAAAACAGAGCAAAAAAGGGCTCAAGTGGTAGAAGACCTGTGCACACATACACACACTCCAGACACAAAAGGGCAACCTCTCTATGATTCTAACCTGGGATAGATACCTAAGTCATCAAAATCATAGAAACAGAAAGCAGAAGGGTGACTAGCACAGCCAAAGAGGAGAGGGCCATGAGCAGTTTGTGTTTAGTTGGTTCTGGAGATGGATGGTGATGGTGATTGCATAAAAATGTGGATGTACTTAACACTACCAACTACACGCTTAAAAATGGTTAGTCAATTTTATGTTATATATATTTTTTCCACAATTCTTTTTCAACTAGCCAATTTCCTTCTCATTTCCAGTTTAGCTAAGCTTTTCCTTCTGATGTACAATTCATCTCTAACTTCCTGGAATAGATATCTGCTAAGAATCTTACCTAATGCACAAAGAAATCAGACATACAAGGAACAGATAAAAAAGCAACACAGAGCAGGAAAGAGAGAAAAGCAGTTACAGCTTAGGGACCCTCTGCACACTGGCCTGGTTCCAATGGCTCCAGGCCTCAGCATTTCCTGGAGAAGCGCTCTTACCCCATCCTTCCTTCCTCCGTGTATTCTAAAGGCCTTGGCATCATTGTCAGCAGGTGCTACCTCTCAGCAGGTATTAGCAGCCTTCCAGAAACCCAAGAGTCTCCACCAGCACCAAAACTCCTGAAGGAGCCCATGCAAGCTCTGTGGTTGGAAATACTTCCTTTTCCCAAGAATCTCTCCATCTCTGCCACACACATACTCACACACAGATTCTGTAGACTCTAGAGCAGGGGTCATATCAGATAAACCACAGGTCATCTACCTTGGAGGATATTTGACACAAAACAAGATGTGGGTGACTACAGACATGGCTGTGATAAAGAAGGTTCAGACAGAATGCAATCTTGAAGCCCATGAACTCTCAAAGGGTCCAAAGACCAGTTGAGGCAGCAGCAGTGAGTCTTTCACTATAGCTCTGGCCAATTCCTACCCAGTAATTAGGACTGTGTAGAGCCCTAAGAATCTAGATTCTTTTCAGTGGTCCTTCCTTGCACTGGCCTGCAAGTCTGGCCAGACTGCTAAACACTGTGCATCACACTGTACATCAAGACTCATGAGCAGTCAACGGCCAGAGTTTGGGTGGACCTCATAAGTCCCCATCCCCTTCTGGAATCTTCTCTGGGTCTACAGTGGAGCTCAGCACTCCTCAGCTTTAGCAAGCTCTCAAGGTAGAGATCCTTAGATCCCACATAAGAATCAAAACCAAAACACAACACAGTGAGGCAAGCTCAGAGCTTAAAAAAAAAAAAAGATGGCGACTACGTAAGGAAATGCTCACAGATGTTAAGTGAAAAAGGTTGAATCTCAACTGCATATTCTGTAGAGGACCGTCTATGCTGAATATATTCATGTACAAATTCAACTTGGACCCAAATTATATAAATCTTCTATAAACATAGTGTGTTAGTTGTTTCTGCATTGCTATGATAAAATACCTGACACAACCAACTTAAGGAAGGACGTATTTATTTTGTTCACAGTTTCAGAGGTTTCATCCATCCTGGCAGGGAGGGTGTGGTAGAACAGAGAAGTTCAACTCATGGTTGCCAAGAAGCAGAGAGTGAGGAAGGGACTGGGGACCAGGTATAACCTTCATAGACACTCCCTTAGTGATGTATTTCCTCCAGCTAGGCCCCACCTCCTAAGTCTCCACCACCTCCCAAAATAGCACCACCAGCTAGGAACCAATCATTCAATATGAGCAGGAGTAGGGATTTGGTGAGGGGGGAGGGGGCATTTCATATCGTCATTTGTCATGTCCTACAGCCTGAATGGCACCAGTCTCCTGTCCCTTACTCAATCAGTCCCAGGGTAGGAGCCAGCAGTTAGTGAGGAGAAGAACATGACAGGTCGGGGACTTGTCTGAGAAAAAGCAAAAGGGTAGGCATTGAGAGACCAGCCTGGGAGGCAGAAATTCTACAGAAGATAGAATTGGGAAGATAAGTTAAGGTCCAGGTATGGAGGCACCTGGGACAACTGTGGGCCACTGAAGTTTTGTGAGCAAGGGACTGACTGGCAGAAACAATTTAACTGCATGGCATAAACTCTACCAGGAAGCAAATCCTTTCACATCCCTGGACAGGGAAGAAACAGCAAGAAGGAAGCCAGAGGGCAGAGATAATGAGAGAAAACAGACACAAACAATCATGGAACCATGAAGCTCTGACTGGATATGAAGCCCAGAAATATGGCTACTTACTGTCCTATGTATATCTTTGACTAAGGTTCTGTTGTGTCTCTTGGGTTTTTATTTTGTTGACCCATGGTAATTACACCTATTAATGGGGTACAATGTTAAATCTTAATACATGCATATATTGGGAATTTAGCATTCAGGGGACAATGGCTGTCAATACTGGAGTCATCCTGATAAGGCAGCACATGGGGGTTCCTAAACTATGCAGTCGTCTACCAGCTCACCTTACTCCAAGACCACCAAACATCTACTCCGGTCCCAAGGCTCTTAGCAGTGGAGGGAGAACAGGAAGAAGCAAATGATTCCAGTTATGCATGCAACTTTGACAGACCTGCTGATGGAGGAACAGAACCAAGCAACCCTCCACTTCGATCCACCATACCACTGAGGGTCCCGCCTCCTAAGACTTGCTGTATCTCCAGGGCTTCTGTTGAGATGTTAAGCCATTTCATTTCAGGTCTTGAAAACTAATGCTCTCTGACACATTATTTTTCCTACTGCCAAAGAGTTTAATACTCAGCACTCATGATTCTATATAAGATTAGTTACCATTTTTCCTACACATCAAAAGTTAATTCCTCCTAAAATGGCAAGCTGAGACATCACTAAGGAATGTAAGGGGAATAAGAAGCCGGTTGCCTGGCAAAATTATGTAAATAAAGATCTCTCTTTGAGAAGAAAAGAAGTCCCTAGACAAATAAAGGAGAAGAAGCTAGAAGAGGATTGTTCTAGCTTAACTGTCCACTGATAGGATAAGTTGCATTTTAACATTTTAACTAGGTCAGTCCTTGGGTTCTGATGCTGGACCTTAAAAATACTCCTTTGCTTCAGATTTGGAATAACAGATCAGTGAATCTAGAGATCACTTTCTATCATTTTGTATTTTAGTTAAATGGTTATTCTCTCTAAAAACAAAACCAGCAAACAACAACAACAACAAAGCCCTTAGCATTTCTCTGTGATTAAAAATAAGCTACACCATAGGACTGAAACATAAATGCCTTTCTCCTGCATGGATTTCAAGTGTTCTGGTGCTTAAGCAGAAGTAATCAACATATCTCTCTGTAATGAATAATTCTGCACAGGTTTTAGAAAGGTAATGAATGACCAAGGAGACACTGGGGATTAGGGGTTAGGAGGGACGACAATAGAATAAACTCAGGCACACTGCTTAGTGCCAGCCCAATTCTTCCATCCCTGGGTCACTCTATTACAATCATGCATTTCTATAACTACATTGGCAAATGAAGGGTCAATTCAGTAGTCGCTATCTAATGTTATAAAACATTGGGCTCACGTGATTGAGGGAAGCTACATGGAATTAGGTCTTTAACCACTGGGAACTCTGTAACTCTTTGGTGATGTGGCTTGGACTCTCTAACACATGCATATTCCAAGTCTTCCCTAGGGTGACCTCGGACCTAGGGGTCTAATGCAATGTAACGATAGGTGTGTTGGCAGGCTCACTGAGCACAACCAGAGCCAGTCTGGTTCTGCTTGAAGTTCATCTAAGTCCATGGCCTTGAGGCTTGTTGAAAATACAGATTCTTGGCCCCTCCTAGAGGATTCTGCTCCAATGGCAGCCAGCCCTGGAGCCAGCCTTCAGAAGTGTAGTCCTGGCCCACTGAGAGTGAGTAGTAGCCAAGTCCTATTTTGGTGCAATGAGCCCCTCACAGTAGCACGTGTGACACTAGAAATCAGCTTGCTGCAGTTAGATCAAAAATGGAAAGGCATGTGAGTGACAGGTGGTTGGGAGTTGAGTCCCCTCATATCCTCAGAGGATTTGGAACTTAAGAGAGGTTGACTCTGTCCAAGGAATACGTCTGAGAAAGAAGATGGCCTGAGAAACTTTAAAGAAAGTATTAGGGGTCCTCTGCTCCACACACTGTCGTGACAACTCAGCCATAGGCTGTCTCTATATACCGTCTCTTATCCTCTGCAGCTATATAAATCCACCTCACAATGAAGGCATGGCTGGAACCCTCCTTGGCCATCCAGGATGAAACCATTTCTCCCACCTAAATACTATTTTTACTACCAACTTCCCAAGATGCATTCCCTTCACTTAGCCAACTGTTCATAACTGAAGGGGAGGGGGTCTTGAACAAAGTCTAGGAAATCAAAGATTATGTAGATATATACTCATTATGGAGATTAATTTGTTAAAGTCTCTGAGAAGGCCCTTGATAATCTGCTCAATTTTCTTTGACTCGACATTTTCGAAACTCAAGTAACCTAGAAACCCATTTGTCCAGGAAATCCTATTACCTTCTTGCAGAAGTGATGACCCACAGACAAATTTGGGAAATACTGATCTATTCTATTTAACAACTAATTATGCCATGTCTGACTAGAAGGGTTATTTAACCTTGTGTTATTTAACTCTGTACACATTTATATATTAGCTTAAGTAGAATATTTATTTGAGCAAGGAGCATGTTTTGCACATCTTTAAACTCCCTACATAACCAAGTCCAGCCCTTGTATGGTAGAGATACTTAAGAAATTCTTTTAATTTGAAAGTGTCAGGCCTGATGTAAAAATCACACCTAACTTAGACATAAAATTTTAAAGTCCCATTCTTTTTTCATATAAAGCAAATGAGGCCTGGAGATGCAAAATGGATTGTTCAAAGTCAGCAACAGAACCATGGATAGAGCCCAAGCCTTCTGACTTCCTAGTTGGTGCTCCTCTGAGATTTTTTTTTAACATTTTTATTAGTATATGTTAGTTGTACAGGGGGTTTCATTATGATGTTTACATATATGCTTACAATGTACTCTGGTTTGGTTCATCATCTCCCTTAATTCTCCCTCTTCCCCCTCATCCTTCAAAAAGTAACTTTGACAGGTTTCAATGTTTCATATTCATACATGTATAGAAAATACATAAACCATATTCACCCTCCTTTATCCTCTTCATTTACCCCCCCACCCACTAGTACCTTCCCACTATCATGACCTGTTTTACATTCCTGTCCTTCATTGTTCAGTGTATGTTCATTGTTCAGTGGGTTTTGCCTTGGGGTTTTACCTGTAACTGTACTTTCATCTACTACTCTTCCTTACCTTTTCTTCCTACCCCGTTTTATTCATAGTTTCAGGGTGTTTTGTTGTCTTGTTCCTACACAGATATGATGCATTCAATCATCCTCTTCTTTTTTCCTCTTCCGCTTGTCTCCTCTACACAGTCCCACTACTGCAAACTCCTTCTGCGAGTTGAACAGCCCTGTAGGCTCCACCTGGTTCCCAGTGGGTAAAGGCATAGAGGGAGGTCTAGTGATCTGAATACCGTAAGTAGGATAACACAGGCATACCCAGTACAAAGTGAAATTCAGAAAGAAGATCTGAGAAATCCCAGAACTCTGCTGACCCGGAGCTAAGCACTCTGAGGATTCCAGAATGCCCATCAGTTGTTTAGGGATTCAGAGCTCAGGATTAAGAACGTAAGAAAATACTGTTATATTTGCAGTTTCTAAATGTCAATTGAAACATCGTATTAATAGTTTGAGCATTTACTTCTTAGAACTATATTTACACACTTTTTTTTGTTTTTGTCTTTTTCGGTGGTATGGGGTTTGAATTTAGGGGTTCAAAATTGCAAAGCTTGCCCTCTACTGCTTGAGCACACCTCCAGTCCATTTTGTTCTGGATATTTTAGAAATGGAGTTTCTCAAACTAGTTGCCTGGACTGGCCTCGAACCTCAATCTTCCCACTCTCAGCCTCCCAAGTAGCTATGATTATAGGTGTGAGCCACTAGCATCTGGCCATTTGTACACATTTATATTCACACAAACACTACCTAAGGGTGTGTGTGCCTCCATGTGCACATGTACACGTGTCAATCACTGCTTGTTCTTAAAGAGGTCCAATGATAAAACTAATACCTCTTATTCCTCCACTAGCCTAAAAGTATCCTGGAATCAACTCCAGGATATTCAGCAACTAAATCAGAATTGCTTGGGGGGATTTGGTAATGTAGAATCAAGATCTCCACAGGTGGGAGTGCCAGTGTCTGCATCTTTACAAAGCCACAGGCAACTGGGACTCAGGCAGGGATGAGATCCACTGCTCTGGAGGCCTGGGGTTGGCTAGGTCTCAACTTCAGGTGCTGCTCTCCAGGCACTTCAACAGATCTAGTTCTTCCAACAAGGACTCTCTGGCCTCTGGCATCTGCCACCAGAACTTCACCTGTACAGCCAACACTGAGCATTCTCCCAGTTAACTCCCAGGTCATGATAACATATAACTAATTTTGTGAAAGCACAGATCCTGGTTCTCTATACTTTTTAGCTCCTCACTAAGGCCCAGTCAGGCAACCCACAAGCACACATGCACCCCACTACAGATGACAGGAAATGATGCACAAGGCCACACTCCTTCACCAGCACCCAACATCAAATGTATCCACAGCAGTAGCTGACTCTGTCTACCATTCTGCCCCACCCACAATATATACAAGGGAGATGCTATCTTACTATAGGAGTTGTCTTGCTTCCTATCTCTAGTAAGTCATCCACAAAGTTTAGTGCCTAACCAATAATTAGTAGCAAACTACTTCAGTATATCTCATAGCTGGTTGTAACACATTAGTGAGTCAGGACACTGTAGTTAAGAACTGTTGACCTTAACTAGTTACTAATAGTCTTGCACTGGTTTTGGAAATGAAAATGAGATAAAGGGAACTAAGACACAATTATCCTTTAGAAAGTAAAAATATCCTCTGATTCAAAATCTTGAATGTTGGCCTCCTGTAATACCATCTACTAGAAGATCTTGGTTCAAGGCCAGACCAGGAAAAAGAAAAGTTAGCGAGATCCCATCTCAATAAGGTAGACATGGTGGTGCATGCTTGTCTTCCCAGCTACGCAGGAGGCCATAAGTAGGAGGACCACAGTCTGAGGTTGGTCTGGGGCAAAATGTGAGACCCTACCTGAAAAATAAGTAAAGCCAAAATAGGGATGGAGGGTAAGGCTTAAGTGGGGGACACCTGCCTATCAAGTCCTTAGTTCAAACCCCAATACAGAAAAAAATCTTGAATGTTTACACTGTTGCATTTTATGGGGTAAATTATATAATATAAGGATATTCACAAATCTGGGAATTCACAAAAGCACCAAGACAAAGGCCTGTGCTTCTCATGGGACTTATTTCTTATACTACAGTCAAACCACAACATCCAAAAACTGAGGTCAGCAAAAGGCAAGGTCCACATGGACTTGTCAACACCGTGGAGATCAACGAGCTCACGTTCATCTTGCTCATTCTGTCCTCTCAGAAACATCTAGAGTCCCTAAACTCGTCCCTCCTCATTGCTCTCTGGCTCTCCTTCCTCTGGCTGAGCCCTCTCAGACTCTGCAGGGTCAAGCTGCCCTACCAACCAGTAACTGTCCAGATCCAAGGCTCACAGCAGCACCCACTGCATTGTCAATTCTGTTAACACAAATAAAGCACTAGAAATGAGATTTCCATTTTATAGGAACCCTGTAGTCTGATCCCCAGATTTTTTTTAACTAAGGGCCTCAGTCTTACTAGGCAGATGCTCTACCATTTGAGCCAGATGCTCTACCATTTGAGCCATGCACCTATCCCTTTCACTTTGGTTATTTATCAGAGAGGGTCTTGTGT